TTAATATCAATATTATTTACTTTTTCTAAAGATCACATAAATACTCGAAAAAGCATTTCACGTTGTCATACGCAACAAGCGTGCAACGTCGCTTTGATAAAAAGGAGACGGAACACATATGTCCACTCGCTTCTACAAACTGAACGGCGGGGCGCACACGTACGTGTGACGTAACGATTCTCATTTGTGTGCGTGCTTCCCCTACCGCGGTGCTCGGGTGCTGGCCGGCTCGAGTTTGCATCACTGTTGCCTGATATCGCGTTTGACAGCTGATGGAACCGCGATCGATATATTGATTTGCGGAATTAATAAAAGAGGATAGTTGCTAAGAAATAGTGAATGTTTAACAGTTACTAAAATGTTGTAAATAAACAAGTTGTTGGTAGGAGATTGTAAACAAGATGACAGATGTCAGATTTTCGGGAGCTGCAGAGAAGTGCGGACGCGTTTCTGCTAGTTCAGCGGTGTACGATTAAAACGGGATTGTTTTGTGTAATTCTGTTCAGTGTTATATGAATTAAAATTTCTGTTGTTATCTAAGAAGTGTTCTTGGATTAATTTTTTTTCGTGCGTGCCGATTTGTGACGTGACGGAAAAACCGTTCGCGGGCGCAACAATATTTATATTTATATCAATCACATGCTAATACTTTCAAATCTGTTAATTGCTTTATATAAGTTCCTATTATTTTGATAAATAATTATACTTTTCTTTATCATTTAGTATATATATTACTCGTCTTTCACCAACAATAAATATTCATATAAATATAAATATTATAAATATTAAACCATCAATAAATATTGGATATAAATATAAATATTAACCTTTACTTGTCAATTGCTCCCGTTGCTTTGAAACAGCCAAAACAGCATTGCCGCTACGTTCATAACCAGTCATAATGTAAAAATATGTAGAGTCGGAACACGCCGACTCAATATGCCTTGACACCCGTGCAAGGTCGTGTGTTAAGGCATTAGTGTGACCTGGTGTACTATGATTTTTATCGTTTGTACATTCTTCGTTAATTTAAAAAAATTACAAAATTTTCGTAACAGTGCCAATGATAGTTAGCCTCCGCCCCCCTATGTCGCAATTACGTCACGTATACTATAATTTATGAATTTATCGTGCTTAATCGTTTGTACATCGTTTGTACATTATTAATAATCGGTTAAATTTATATTCCAACATTTTGTTTTTGTTTAAAACGCAAAATAAATAATTTTTATTTGAATATGGCGGGTACGGAGCACGGAGCGGGTGCGCATGCGTTTTAGTTACTTCCTGCTAGAAAATGGCAAATAAATCTTCAAAGTGCATATACATTAATGTCAATTTTACCAACATCAAGACTGAAATATGATAGT